TTTTTATGCTGATAAGCCTGAGTGGTCTGTGGACTGACCTTTGTATTTTTTCAAATGTTTGTTATGGGCAGGTTACAATATAAAAAATGTTTGTCATAATCACGTCTTGTGATTATTTAACAGGAGTTTTACTTTTAAACTGTAAGTGTATTTAATTTAGTTATGTTGTGATAGTTTAGTTGTAAAATGGTGATGTAAATACAATAAAAATTAAAACAAGATTTAGAATAATTATCATTTTTATCCATACACTGGTAATGTCTAACTGGGCCTCGTGTCACTTTGTGTTCAACAAATTGGGCTCCGAGGTGAAAAAGGTTAAGAACCCCTGATGTAGACAAATACTAGACAGAAAAGGACTGAAGAGTCAACCTGAATTCAAAGACAGAAAAAAGAACAACATTCAGGAACTCTTGAAACTACAAATTGTATTTCGAGCTTTTATGACAGATCAAGACTCATTTGTACAGTTAACATCAGATACAACAAAGCAAGCCTGAAAATAAATCTACCCCCTCTGCTTTACCAACCCCCCACCCCACCTGTCCTTCTCCAGACCAATGGACCTCTCAGCAATAAAGAAGAACATAGAGTCCGGCGTGATCCGGACCACGGCGGAGTTCCAGCGTGACATCATGCTCATGTTTCAGAACGCCATCATGTACAACTCGTCAGACCACGACGTGTACCACATGGCGCTGGAGATGCAGCGGGACGTCCTGGAGCACGTGCAGCAGTTCCTGGCCACCCAGCTCATCATGCAGACCTCAGAGAGCGCCATCTCTGCCAAGAGCCTCCGTGGAAGGGAGGGGAACCGTAAGCCGGGGGAGCCGGCTGAGAAGGTGGGTTGGGTGTAGCAGGAGGAAAAGATAAACTTCTGACAAAAACCTCATCAAAGAAAACCAAAACCTCTGCTAAAGGATGTGTGGGGTATTCTTTTGATTGTTTTTTACCTGATTTCAAGGTAGTGAACTGAAATGGAGCTACGTGAATTCAACAAAGTCAAACTTGCAGGTTTTGGGGAGTTTTTGTCAAGTTTTTGAAAATGTTTTTATCATCCCTCCTGAAAAGTGGGTGAACACTGAATCTGAATGATTTTTTTTATTTAAATCTATAAATACAGTTTGTAACTATTCAAAAATGGATCAGCATCTAAAACCTGCTTCCTTTTGGGCTTGTATCTTTGATAGAGTTTAGAGTGAAGTAGAAGCTGACTTTAGTGATATAACTTGCCCTGTCACACTTCAATCTAATCAATAGCATTCAATTAAGCATCCATCCAAAAGAACCTTCCAGTTGATTATTTGATTCTATTTTCAGTTTAAACGTCTTTATTGTTGGACATCATTTTCATAAGTTTGTTTGCACAAGTTTTCTAAAACAGTTTTCTTTAACATGACACCTATAAAGTCCAATATTCACCACACTTTAGTATTGATGGTTCAGAAATGAGTTTGTTTTTGAAAATAAAAATATTTTGTAAGAAACCTGCTGCTGCAGCAGAGTTCATGTTCTAAATTTCTAAACATGAACACAAATAAACCTGTGGAAGCTTTGTGGAACATTTACCCAAAGTTTCATCATGGATGAAGATAAAAATGTGATCGTTTGGACAACTATTAACGACACATCAGTGTCTTCACAATAAGGTTCCAGTAATTCATAAATGAAAAACCTTCACTGCTTTTAAACTGGTATGGCCTAAACATGTAATTCTGGCATGGTATTAAATCAAAAATAATAATTAGTCTCTGACAACCAGTGACAAATATTTGTCATTTATTATTCATTTTGATGCAGCACTGTCAATAAAGAAAAAAAAAACTTTGTTTTAAATTCATCACTATACCTTCTTTTATATGTAGTCATACATGTTCTTCAATAGGTTGAAAACAAACAAAAACAAATTAGTCTAAAACTATTTGTGTCTTTAAAAAAATCTGCTGTTTTGAAGATATTTTAGGGTTTTTTCTTATACATTTTTCACCTTGGTGATTTTCAGTGCTTCCCTGGGCCTGTCTTTTTTATTAGAACTTTGTTGTTGTGAAACATGACTGTAATTTATTTAATCAGTTTTAAGGACAACTTCAGTGCAACACAATCTGATCACAAATTCCTAAAATGAACCTTTTTTGTATCAGCACTCAGTCTGTGATGTCGGTGATGTCAGACATGTAGAGTGTTTCCTCACAGACTGAAGGGAATCTTCAAAACATCCATCAGACCTTTTATTTAACTTCAGTTTGTTTTTTATTCAATATCTACAATGTTGTCTCTGCTCACAGGGTTGTAAACACTGGGGTTCAAATCTAAAAAAAAATAAGATCCCAGATGTGATTCTGTTGTAATGTTTAATTGTTCTAATTAACAAGAAACAGGTAACGACTAACAGCATGTTCATATTCTAAACGTTGTTTGCTCAGCTTAATAGTTGTGACGTTGAGTCCCAGCTGATCTCTTTGCTTCACCTCTTTTGTCTATGTGTGTGTGTGTGTGTGTGTGTGTGTGTGTGTGTGTGTGTGT